TGCTTTCTCTCAGAGAGTGCGGGAGAAAAATAATTCATCCGGGAGCAGCTCCATGCACTTAGGTGCATCCGACTGATCGTTTCTGCGCGCGAACTCGCCTACGCGACATTAATGACGGGTTTTAACAGCGCCGTAAATTATGCGCCGTCAACTTAAAAACAGTTTCAGTGTCTTTAATGGGGTAGTAATAATCGCGCGAGCATGCAGCAGTTTGAGATTTCGAGCCCCGACGATTATATCACGAGAGATATAAATCTGTCCGATTTCTGAGGCGCGTCCTCGTGTCATAAACCGAGCGAGTTACCTCAATCGCACGTCTCTCGGGCATAAGCGGTAGTCGGGTAATAAAGCCGCGACGATGCCAATCTGCGCGCGGTTAATCATCGCGGGCGACGCTCCAACCCGCGAGCCACACGCACGTAGTACTCCACGTAGTGCTTGTGCGAGCCCTGAATGCTGCTTGATCGTAGATGCGATTTAAAAGCCCGGTGTAATCTGAGCGACGCGAATGACGTCGCGCGCGGGCTCGCATCCGGCGTGAAAAACCGAAGGCGGCGGGATATATCCTTGTCTTCGCGAGAACGCGCCACCACGAAGGCCGTCCCGCTCGTTCGCAAGGTCGGTTATTCATCCGCGCCCGTTGCACAAGGATTTCGTTAAATGCGCTTTGTATTCCCCGCCAGTCATCGTCATCATCCTCTATCGTAACGTCGGGGGAGAAATGCCAGGACGAACGAACGACCCTGCGCGTCGTTCCGAGGATTTCGCGCCGCGCGGATCGCCCGACCAGTTCCGTGTGCTTCTTCCTTCTTCTGATTTTCAATTATCAGGAGGATAAGCTTGAAAGGACGATCGCGGCCTGGGGTGCTTTCGTTGTCTTGGGTATGAAACTTCTTCTCGTACGATTCAGTTCTTGACAGCACTATAATTAGGCACGAGTGACATCATATATTACGAGTGACAGATATCAGAGTCCCTCAAGTAAAAGTCTAGATAAGTTTGACTTTTGATCCAAAATGGCGTCCGCGTTAGTTTTACTTAACAAGGATGTCTATTCGGATGTCTGTTCAACTCAAGTTAACCTCCAAAAGAATCTTTCCGATACATTTACTTGTAATACTATCGATAAAAATAGATCTTTTGATTTCTAAAAATTAATTTTTTCCTTATTTTATCTCCCATCTTAAAATAACGATTTATTTTATAAAACAGTATCTAAAATTTTGTAGAGTTTTTTTATATGATAATCTTCAAATCTGCAATTTGCAATCTTTGGTTTCTCCAATCAATAAGAAGTCGGAGGTGTCCAGATTCTTACTTGAAAGACTCTAATAGCGAACTATATGATACGCCATCTTGAATCGCGAAATTTATGCGAAGAAGGATTCCTTAGTAGAAATTTAATGCAGTTGTCGATCAGTTACGGAATAGTTATGTCAACTTTTGTTTGAACTGAAGAATAAAACTATTTGTCTCCATTAAAATGTAACTTTTTTCCTGCGCACGAAAGATGCACAAAATCTGAAACCATTTACTGAATGAAAAAATGGACAAAAAACTATTCAATTAATTAGTAATTAAGTCTACTATTTATAAAATGGACAGATTTGTCCTAGCAATATTTGATTTTTCGTGCATACTTTTTAATTGAAAAAATTTAATACTAATGAGAGTCATAGCGTAGAAAAGTATGAAATATATATTTTCATGTTTTTCTTTTTATATGTGATATTTTTCAGAATCATCAAATGTCATATCCTTTTATCCATTTTTGTATAATAGTTGTATTATTTTATCAGGTTCTGAATTTAAGTTATGCATTACAGTTTCAATTTGTATCATTATCATTAGAATAGTCTCATATATTCTCATCCACTGAAAAAAATTATCTGATAAAAATTTAACAAGCGAATATTTCCGATCAAATTCTGGTCAATTTTTATATCCAATAAGAATTCAATTAAATTTAATCGGATACGTCCGATCATAATGGCATTTCTTCAGCTAATCCGATCAAAAAATTATGAACCGATATCTCTCATCGGATGTTTCCTCATCAGATATAAAAAATTATCGGTATTTTGATCGAAAAAATTCGTTTGCTAATTTTTCATTGGATTTTGATTTTTTTTAGTGTCGCAATTAAATTTTGTATTATTAACTTATACTTTATTTATTTCTTCATTATTTTTTGCTCACTGTCATTTTCAATCTTGATTATCATATCTGTCACAGAATTTAATATTGTCAAATTATGACAATATTAACGTAAATATCGCGATATTTTTACAACTAATGAGAATGTATTAATAAATTAGACAATAAATGAGTGGATGTCTGTGCAATCTACATACATTTCCACTAGGATCACGAATGATTTTATGGAAAATATGTAGTCCTTAAAATTAAAAATCTCTGAAAAAAGCCGTATGAGTCGTTAATTTTAGTAATGCACGAAAAATGGTAGTGCACAGAGATTGTCGAATAATGGCAGAGACACACATCCTGACGCTATTGAAAGTGACTCGCATGAGAAAAGACCCTTAGTCATCAAATCGCGAGTTGCACCATCGCGTGATTAAGAAGGGACATTTGATACACTCATTCGCTCGTTTTGCTACACATCCTCGGCACATTTCGTAAGCTTTGCTTCGTATTACGCGAGAGCGGCCTTCACTGAATTCCGCGGTATTTCCTCGTCGACGAAAATTTCATCGGGCGTCATCTCCTTTCTCCCTTATCTCGCGGCGTTAAACACATCCTCATGCAATTAAATCTTGAATTACGATTCAATTATAATCTCTAAGATCCGTGTGAACGATACTTAAGAGAGGTACCGATGCTCGCGCGGTCGTTAAGGGCACGTGGGCGGTATTTTCAGAAAGTGGAGGTTTTATAGAGCGTCGGCCGGTCTGCGACGGTTTAACTCGCGGCCTTCGGTTTGCGGTAACGAGCGCTACACGGCTAATTAACGTGCTTTAATACGTAGTTCTTTTTGCATGCTCGTAAAACCACGGCGACATATCCAAATCCGGGACGCGGGTGTAATGTATGGCTCGCATTAATATTTATGAATTGTTCTGCGAGTATTAATTATTGCATCGCCTCCCCAAGTCCAAACCCAGTAACAGATGGAGTACGTATACATACGTACGCATGCACGCACGCATTGCGAACATAGCGCGAACGAAGATGTATTTTTCGACGTCCTTGAAAGGTCACCCTTTCGCAATCTTACGTGTGAAGAAAAGTAATTTGATGAGTCTGGGGAAAAGTTAAATTATTGATATTATCCCAGTCGAGATTTTTATCTTTTTAGCTTTACTATTTTATTCAATATCTATTTTGATATTTTGAAACCTATAATATAAACTATTTTGACGCTAAAGAGAGTAAAAAAGAAAATTTCAGATATTATTAGAGTTAAATAGAAGTAAATCATATCATTAGAATTAAACCTACTTTGCTAACTTAGCTCCTGCGTTATAGAATTCAAAATTTAGGACCAAAATTTCGACTCCGGTATTAGCAAGGTTTATCAAAAATAACGTGTGTGATTTAAATCCCAGAGCTCAAATGCAATACTGGTAACATGAAAAACCAGATTTTTCTAGAAGCCAATAATTAAGGAGGATACCAATAATTATGTGATCACTTTTATGGCGCTACAGAGAAACACCATAGACCGGTACAGGCAGACCACTTTGTAATGTCACAGTTTTGTACAAATAGGTTGCTTTTGTACCGTTATAGAGAAGTACTTTAGAGTGATATATGTATAAAAACACAAATTTGTCACAAAATAATGTCATAAGTTTTTATTAATTTTTATCTATTTTTCTCAATTATAACCATAAGTTGCTTTTTATTCAAAAGGCTTATAAACGCAAAATAAGGCCATCTCTTCTCTACTGAACAAGGCGCGAAATCCGTAACGCCCACTCTCGACTGAATCATAGGAGTTTTATGACAGGCGGTAAAATCCGTAAAAATGTTTTTCTTTTTGCCAAATTTACAACTTTCTCGTGCACTGTAATTATTTTATAAATTCTCTCTCTTTCTCTCTCTCTCTCTCTCTCTCTCTCTCTCTCTCTCTCTCTCTCTCTCTCTCTCTCTCTCTCTCTCTCCTATTTCTCTCTCTCTGTCTTTCGTGCAAAATAACCTCAGTAATTATCATCTAACGGTTTTCAATTGAATTTGTCCTTCTTAATTACAAATTCAAAACTCTTTAATCAGATTTGTTCAATTATTAACTGAATAATCTTTGATTCTTTTCGTTTATACTAGTCGATTGAGCGATCTGTAATTGAATTTGTTGAAATCAATCGTCAATCAAAGAGTCCTCGATTGAATCTGTTAAAATTAATTGTTAATTAAACGGCCTCCAATTGAATTGGCTCATATTCTAATTGTTAATTAAATACGAAAAAATAATTGATAACTTGCATGATCGTTTTCGAAAACGGTTGCTTGCGGTGATAAAGATTATCAAGTTGAGAAACCGAATTCAAAACCGAGTAACGTTTCTCACAATCCTAGTAGCCGTCAGAGAAACTGTCAAAGAGAAGCCTCGACTCCCAATTTCTTGCTCATGGAAAAAAACTCATTTTCAATTCCCAATACCTAATAAAAGAAACATATTAACACAAACAAACGCAAAAACACGGTTGCATAAAATACATACATTAATAACACGGTAAAGTAGGAATGTCGGGCACCTATATCAAAATTTTGTCAGAAACCCGTCAGTCCGTGGACCCAACGAAACCACATGTCCCTTATTTCTACCTGCTCCAAGCGAGGTCTTCAGGTACCCAAGCACTGTCATCATCCGGAACGGAAGTTGCGGGATGAATCGGAGCATCGGACAGAGGGAGCGTCGCGACGCATGATACGGCACGGGGATCGCGTGTTAGAGAGAGGGTAGAGCGGGCCCCTCGCGAAGCAAGGAAGGAGGGGGTCGCGGATAGAGGCGATCGGCTCTCTCGGATCAGCTGTGAGAGCGGCGTGGCGCCGTGTGCCGCGGCTCTGACCCGCTGTCAGTTGCCCGAGCCCTGTGCTACGGTTAGGACCGCATAATCGTCACCTTTTAACGACGTTACACGCCGAGCTAGCCACGGGTCGTCGCGCCGTGTTCTCGGCAGCACGCTCTTTCGGTTCTCCCGTTGCAAGCCAGACATCGGCGAGCGCGAGCGATCGACGGCGGTAATCGGGACGAAGAGATCGGCATACACGAGAGAGGCGAAAGGCCACCAGCAACGCGGGGAGCAGCGATCGCGAGCGAGCACGATTGACCGTAATCCGACCTCCGATTGGACCTCCACCCGCGAGAGATAGCTCAGCGTGTCGCTAAATCGTCGTGGCCGTCATCGTTGTCATCGTTGTCGTCGTCGTCATCGTCGTCGTGTCACCTAGAGATCTACGGAGAGCGAGCGCTCCTCTCCTCTCAGTCGCCCGAAGTCGCGGAGAGGATAGCTCCATTCGCGCGGGCGTGGTGGGTGATTTTGAAATTCCTCGTTTGTGGTGGAGAAGTGAACGCGGGCTTCGACTGTCGGGGGGAGTACCCACGGAAGGCGCACCCGGGAATCCGTGAGCTGACGAGACCAGTATCCAGGATGCTCTGGTAGAGAAGCGCGGACAACCCTCCGGTTCGAGTGCGAGAAATGGCGTGCGGCATATCGGTCGACGTGACCGCCACGAGCACGGTGCTTCTCCTGCTGGTAAGCCTCCGAGTACCGCTGTTTTACGAGCGATCGACCTGAGAAGTCGATAACACTCCTTCGACTACGCTAGGGCGTAGTCGGCGACAATGGGTCCGTTGGCAGACCACAGTCTCCTTTCGTTGTGTTATACTAACTTCTCTATTGCTACTAAAGAACTTATGGGGATTTTAAACTCCATTACCAGATCATAAATCATTACTTAAAATCGAAAAATAACGAACGGAAGAGAAACAGTATAACGAAAAGGTAGCAAACAACAAAATATCAAAACATTATACACGAATAGAACTTGGTAGTAAAAATTACTGTAGAATTTTGTAATCGAGAAATAAATCGATATTCTGCACATGGAATTTTTATACGGAAAGAAATTATTGCAGGATTTTGTAATTGACGAGTAGGTCAGTCTACAGTAATTCACTATCCTTTTATCATATATATGCTATTTATATTTTAGGAATGTAAAATAATTTACTGTAATCAGTTACATAAACTGAAATTTCTTTTTCTGTAAAAGATCGGCGAGAAGCTGCGTGAGAAGTTTTTGAATTCTACGTAGTATCTGAATTGTACGGTGATCGATTTTTCTACACACACAGAAAAAATCGTATTTCGTACAAGTGAATGGACCAAACAAAAAACTCGCTGACGAGAAACAATATCTCTGCCACTGTGACTGAAAACATTCGTCTGAATATTGAGCCGCATTAAAACTCCGGTTGAGGTAACTGAGAATATTTAGCTGAATAGAAACTTCCTACAGGAATCTTTCGGTTTTTACAACCGAATTTTTCATCTGTTCCTAGATAATAGAAGATTTAGTTACACTAACGAAATTGTTTTTTTTCTATGTACACTGTTTATGTGATAATACTCAAAAGTACTCGAATTTTTATCCTTACTATTCCATTCAACATGTATTTTGATACCCTGAAATTTACATTAACCTCTTTTGATTCTATTTGATCTACCTAAGTCGAAATTTTGATCTTACTTTCAGCCTCACTATTCCATTCAACATCTATTTTGACGCTAAGGAAAGGGAAATTTCGCACATCATTAAAGTCAAAATAGGAGTAAATTGTACCATTAAAATTAAATCTACTTTGCTAACTTAGCTCCCACTGCGTTGTAGAGCTCAAGGTTTAATTCAGGACCAAAATTTCGACTTGGATAAAAAAGAACAGTGTGCGTAGAGGATTGCGAGCATTAAAATATTGATTATTTTATGCGCGACGAGTTCCGTAAGGTTACGTCGGCGAACGCGCGCATTGTCCAAGCTCCCGCAAAATCGACGCGTGCACCTTCGTATGCTGGGTGACATTCACACACAGAGGCGCGTGTACGCGTCGACGTGTGCACGCGTCGAGCCTAGAGTCAAGGATACCATCGTTATCTAGCTCGTGCTCGCTATACTCACATCGAGTATCCCTGCTGTGGATGCACACGCGTATACGTATACAACCCACGTCGCGCCGTCGCGGGCGAGCGTCACTCTCGTTATGCAAGCGCGGAATGTTAACTTATCGCGGTTCCTGCGGGTTCCTACGTGCGTTCCGTCGCTTTTTCTTGCGCAACGCGACGTAAGATGAGCCCGGCGCGAAAATTTCGCGTGCCACGCGGTTTATAGGCGAGCGTACGTCGCGTGGAATTTACATAAGTTCGCGTGAACGTCGAAACGCGAACTTAATCGACGTAACCGGATAGCGGGCACGTCCGAAATGTTAATCAGACTAACGTCGCGAATAAAGAAATTGTTGTATAACTCGGTGGATAATTTATGAGAATAAGGAGACGCGCTGTTTCACCGAGAAACAATATCAAGAGTGAGCTAATAATGATGACTTAGACGAGTATATTTTTGCATAAATACTTACAAAAATACGTCAAAATTATATATAATCGAGGAAAAATTTCTTTTACCAAAATAATTGAGAAATCATTAATCAGAATTAATCAATCGTTACAAATAATTTCATCGGTTGAATAAATTAATTATTAATCAAACTTTGATGTGATTGATTGCACGCTGATTAATAATTAACTTCATCAATGGATGAAGCTATTTGTATGTGCTTTTGTATATGACGATTGATTAATTTTGAAAGTTTTTATCGTTTTTGTCACTTATTGATTAATGTTCTAATTAATTCTTGAACGCATTTTCACTGTATAAAGACATTTGTGATTTTCTATGCAACCAATATGACGTAAAAGTTACTGAAAAAAGTTAGTATTTCATAAGAATGCAGTTTTTTCAAATATGGTATCTCCTTAGTGGCCAACATCGGTTCATAGACATATTAGGCGAATTTTTGGTTAAAAATGTATTTTTTGGTCAAAAAGATACCATACTGAGAGAAAAAGATGGTTGATCTAATTAAAATTATAGCTATTTTTGGTCACAATCATATTGTGTTTGTAGTAAAATGGTAATAGTAACACGCATTTAAGGCTATTATCACTAACATTACAGTAGAATTTAATAAAAAGAAAAATGATTTTCTTGATCATAATTTACAGTAATTATTTCTCTATGTGATTATAATTACAAATACTAAATGTTTTTTCTCAGTGCAACGCAGCCAGCGTAGTCCTCCAGGAGAGGACGGAGATAAAGATATTCGAAACGGGAATTGCATGTGGGCAGGTCGAACGAACAAACACGTGTCGCGACTCACGCGACTGCGGCGTTAATTTTCCCCGTGCGACGGTATATAATCACGGTGTATAATCACGCGAACCGAGCGTAATTAGCACGACGCCACCGGTATCTCTCAAGGCTAATTTTAAAGGAACTGCAGAGAGGTACATTAATTACCGGATTAAATCTCCTGGCGGCATTAATCGCGTGACCGGCTGGCTCCTCTTCGAGGAGCCGCTTGAGAGAAGGCAACATAATTAATAATTAATATCCAGCCGGCCACGATTAATATTGGGTGCTTTCCCATTTTAGTGACAAAAGTTGACACAAAGTCGACTGCTGTTTCTGCTTCCCATTTCATTTATGTCGCAATGTGTCGGCTACTCGATTTTGACTGACTTTATTTTTACTGAGGGTTAAGCTGAGCTGACAAACAGAGACGGAGGAAAAATAACCTCAGGCTATAATAAATATAAAAAATCTCTATGATCTTGTTTGTCTCGTTTCATCGCGCAATGTTATCACAAAATTATCTTTATTTCGGCAATCTGTGCGTAAACGGCTATGTATGTAATAAATTGGTACGAAATTGGAATAAATTAATGGAAAATTATCGATTGAGATATATGAAACGCGATTAGTGTGTGTATACTAATAATACCATACTTCTCGCGATAGATAATCAAAAAGTCTGAAATAAATTATACACAATATGGCAATGAATTACTACAAACATCCGCACACAGTATATAATGATTATTAATCTGCAAAGATATTCACGTAGGATAGTAATAATAATTGTATTTATACACTGAGAGAAATTATCCGATAAAAAATTAATAAACGGATATTTCTGATAAAATTCAGATCAATTTTTATTTCTAATCAGGATATCCAATTATATTTTATCAGATATTTCCGATTATAATAGCATTTCATCGATAAAACGATAAAAAAATCATGAATCGATATTTTTGATCGGATGTTTCCTGATCGGATATAAAAATTTATCGGTATTTTGAAATATCCGTTTGTTAATTTTTTATTAAATAATCTCTCTCAGTGTAGTTTAAACATTCGATCACGAATTATATTAGAATATAGTATACGAATTATATTAGAATTATATTAGAATATAGAGATCTGGATATATATTTTGTGCATCGACTTTTGCACATCGTAAATGCTTTCCATTTATCACATTATGATTTGTCACTTTGAAGTTACTGACTCGAGCAAACTCGAGTTGACACAAGCGTCAACACAAGTCGCGCAAATGGGAAGCGCTCGTTACGAGGTGACCAGATTGATTCGACCGTTCGCGAGTGACGTGCTCACTTATTGAGATTGAAAGAAGGTCGGCCTTTTTACATTCCCTCGAGATAAATTGTAGATCAACTCTGTTGTAATTTACAGGTCCTCAGTGCAACAGGAAAGTCGTATGTTTAATTAAAATTTAATCAATAATTGGCGTTTATATAGTTGACCGTGACGCGATTTATAAACACGTTATTCGCGAGACGTCCTTAACCGATCAATCAGGAGTACTTAAATCTTCCCTCTCGTCGCCTCTTTTCGCCTCAATCTTTCCACATAAGTAAAGGTCTAACTGTCACACGACTACTGCAGCATACACACAGCGCCGTCGTGCTCGAGGCGAGACGTATCTCCTGCAACTGTATTTAATTATCGGCGAGTCGGCGTATTCTAGCAGCGCTCGGGCGATTTAATTAATTAAAATTCGCGACCGCGTGACAATTACGTGACCGCCGTTCGAAGTGATCCGGTTCTCGGCCCCCTCAACTGGTTTGCTCCCGCGGATCTCCTATGGCGTATCGCGCCTTCGTGAACGGAATTTCGTCGGCGACGCGTCTGGAGCGCGGGCCGCGTGTGCGTAACCGTGATTCGCCGCGATATTTTTCAACGCCCGCCGTTGAAAAATCGCGCACGATAAAGCGGGATTTATCGGCGCATAAAGTACAATTCGCTCGCGAAGCCGGCGCGAAACGGGAGCAGCTGAATTGGGAGCGCGCGCGAATTATGGGGCTCGTACAATTACGTGCAAAGTAAATAATTAATTCGTTAAAATCCGCGACGTGCATTACTTTACGCCTGTAATTGGCCGTTGTGCAACGCAAAAGTGGCGTAATGTGCGGTATATCTTTCTAGAATGGTGGAAATTATTGGAAAACACTCAATTAAAGTTAGCTATTTGGAAAATAAAATACAGTCGGCGCGGAAGAACGAAGGCAGGGACTTTCATGAGTAACAATTCATCGCTTTCAGAATAATTCGCGCTGATTCGCTTACGGAATTTTCACTCGCGAAAGAGAGAAGAAGGCGCGTCGCGGTT